GCCAGCAGTCCAAAATCCACAGATATTTAATTTATGGTGATATAAAACTGAGAAAAGCAGCACAGAATCTGAGAATATTTGGTGTTTCTACATCAAAAAATGTCTGAAATGACTATCCAGTTATGATAACAGTTGCCCATTCATTTTGTGCTGATGATAACAGAATGACATTTGAGTAATAGCTTCAGCTTCATACGCCAGTAGAAAGTCTGACATTTTAATACATTGCTATTTATTTCTGTTATTAACCTAAAGGAGAGTTTTGGTGCTACAGTGAGGCTTTATGGAGTCTCTTTTGTATTCCCATGCCTTTGTTGTTGTACACAGGGCAAAAACAAACATCTGTTAGATAATAGACACCCACTAGTGGAGTTAGCACTTTTCAGAAGTGCCCCCAGTAAAGTGCTGACACACATTTCTTCTTTATTCTCTCTCCCTCCCTCTGCCAGTGGTAACGTTGTGGGCTATCATGTTGTGGCCCCCTGTAAACCCTGCCTGCTCTCCTGTAACAACGGCCATTTCTGGATGTTCAATAGCGACGCTGTATCTACTCTCAACAGACTGGATGCAACAGGTCAGTGTAAGCCCCCCTCGGTAAGATTGGAATTCTTTGCAATTTCACTCCGTCAGATATACTTCATAAGCCTTTGTCACCCTCCAATGTATCTGCAGGTCTGAATCTGCTCCTGTGGGGTGATCTTCCTGAGCTGGATGACAGTGAGAATGAAGAATCAGAAAGCCCGTCAGAGGAGGAGTGTATAAGGTAGAAAGGGAAATGGACAATGTGACAGACCTGGAACGCCAACGTTTAAGAGGTGGACCTAAAAGAGTGTACAAACCATGCTTGAGATAAGAGAGAGAAGAGAAACCTCAAAAGGTAATTTAACACTGAATCAAATAGGGCAGAAAAGTGCTTTACACGGGTTAAAAACTTCTGTGCGTCTGGCCACGCCTCAATCAATGATGTCACAGCAGGTGTTTTGCCTTTTATAGGAGAAAACCTGCTGTGACATCACTGATTGAGGCGTGGCCAGGAACACAACGGGCTCCAAAGTTCGAACCCACAGAGGACAATGCACCGAACGATTTTGGCCCTACTAATTTAGTGTTGAATTACCCTTTAACCTGTGACCATGCCTTCCCCCCTCCCATCACTTTTCACCGTTAAAAGCACAGACACACACACTGTCACACATATATTCTTTTCTCTCTTTTTCTCTTTTTATTTTTTGTACATTTGCGGGGGCTATTCAAATAACACGCGGCTGAAGTAAATTGAAAATAAGAGACGACTAGACTTCTTAATCTAGTGCATTCTCCATTTCATCAGAGTCTCCACTGACCTCTTTGTTTTGATGAGCCTCATGAGATGTTGGGAGTGTGGTGCGATAAGTCAGTGGGACTTACCAGTGGATGCTGCGCTTTTTTCACACTGTTTATGTCTAATTATCTGATAAGTTGACCACAGTTCACCAACCTCTGTTTTAATGGCAGTTATAATCTGTACATTGAATATGCTGTACTAAGCAAACACTCCTATTAACAGTCATGTCTTAAAGGCTTATATGCTCTCTGTGGCTGGGTGCTGACTGAAAGCTGGAGTGCTTTTTGAATCCCATGTATTGGAGAAATAGCACAATTATTGAATGATATATATATATATATCTGAGTTTCTTGCTTTTTTAGGGGCGTATTTGAGTTAGGTTACCGTACGATCTGACGTTCTATCAGTGATGCGTTTTGATATGCTAATACAGTGTTTGTTACACACCTGACAGCAGCAGTATGTGTTTAACACCCAGATGAATTTGACTGTAGCAGTATCTGATACTAACATACTAACTTATGCATAGGGTGTGCTTCCACAAAGGCCTGGAGCAGCTGAATTTTTAAAGTTTAGGAGCTCAAATCAAGTAATAAATTCCCAGATTGATGGTATAGGATAAGATAAAATGGGGAATTAACTAAAGGTGCAATTTTGCAGCACTCCGTAACTCTTCAATGTGGATCATTAATTCTGAAAACACGAGTTCTAACATGGATTTCTGTGTCCATGCTCTGTTTTTGTTGCATTACTGTTCAGTTTTATGTAGCAGCATAACTGTAGCACCTGCAGAGAAGACAAAATAAACTCCAAAGAATCATGGAACATATCAGTATTGAACTTATGGCCTGGCTACCCCTCTAAAAAAGACGAGATAATGTCATTTTGGGCCAGTTTATTGAAAAGCATTTCACATTTTTAAGTTTAGGCTTAAGTCAGTGGAGCTGAGCATTAAACTCTCAACCCCTCAGTATTCTATTGACCTCACTGATGCTGTGATCGTTGACAATTAACCTTTTGTTAAGCTGTGGACTCGGGGGTTGACGCTGTATGTTAGTTGGTCATAGCCGACTGACCAGGGCTTCTCTGCAGCCTGTTGTGCCAGACACAAGCTTCAACCTCCTCCAGTCACAAGGGACTAAACTCAAATCAGTCCTTTTTTGGCAGTGCCATCCTTCTGCTCTTGTTCTTGTTTCACTGCTGTGCCATGATGCTGATACTATGATCCTGTCTTAAAGTAACAGTCTTTCTGTGAGTGAATGAGATTTGCCTGTATTGTGGGCAAACATTGTTGGAGAAGCTAACACAGAATGTCATCATCTTACCTGAAGGAAAAGGATAAAGGAAGTAGGTCTTTAACTGTAATTAGGCCTCTATGTTTATCTATGCTATAGCATTTAGTTATGGAACAATAGAGGAGGAAACCTTTGTCCAGATTTTCACGTCCTTCACCTTAAAGTTATAACTGACAGTCTGCTACACTTGCACACCAAATACTGTCTATGTGGTAAACTGATAGGATACAGCGCATCAGCTATGTATTTATTAAATCCACAAACCAAATATCTATAACCACATACTTCCTTTTTGTTTACAAGCTTTGTTTACAAATGCATTGGTTTGTACTGTATCGTGCTATAGTACTTACGTTTTCGTTCATGTATTTAATATTTCATTTGTGATGTAGTGCTTTGTTTTATACGTTACCGATCTGGATGTGTACAGTTTTACCTCAAGAAGGTATCACTTGCAAGCTTCCTCTGGCTAGGACAATTGTCAAATGATAATCCAAAAAGAAATTATTTAAATGGCTGTTTCTGACGTGAATAACTTTGATTAACATGCCCTGCTGAAAAATGTATATTTTGGAATTGCACTGAAACTGCATTGGTAGTTTGAAAAGATGATTTGTTGTTTTGTATGCTTGTTAAATTAATAAACTTTTTTTTTTTTCAAAATATCTTAAATGCTCAGTAGCTCTCATTTATCTTTTACTTCCCCCTCTAATTTAGGTTCACGTTAGCCAATCATAGCCACATCTATCCTGGACTCCACGGAAAAGTTATTATGAATAATTGATGTTACATGACCCGTACACTGACGTTGCACTACAGAATGTTTTGGAAATGTTCTCAGAAAATTATTTGAATGCTTTTATGTTATTTTAATTGTTCCTCATCACACTGTGGTACACACAAGATGTTACGTGAATAAGAGAATGGCAGTACAAAATGCTGTTGCTGTTGTAAAGTGGTATATTGTACTTGGCTTTCCACATCCAACATCATTGACACATGACCCTGAGTTCTCTTTAATTTACTGTGCACTGATGACTGCCAAAACTGATAATGAATTTATTTTAAATAGTCAAGTCAGTTTTATTTATAGTCACAAGTTTGTCTCAAAGGGGTTTCCCAAATTGTACAACATATATCACCCCCTAACCTTAGACTGTCGGGACATAAGTATATAAGTATAGTGTATAAGTATATAGTAAAGTTACTAAGTGTAATAAATGCAACAACAAATCAACAGATTATTTGTGTGTGTGACAGTGTGACAAAAATGATTATCAATGTCATTGTTAAACATTTTGGTTCCACAAGTCTCATTATGATGCTTGAAATACACAGTATTTGCTAGTGTCAGCAAACAGTAAACATTAACAATCAAAAAACTGGTTAATTGTTCTGCTGATGAGGTTTTAAACCCATATCACTTTGTGTTCTATGTTACCAACAAAAGGAATGACACAACCTGCACTATCTAGCCCTCAGAGAGTATCTATGTGTTGTTGTGTTGTACATGGGTGTATGCTCGGGAACCTCAAGGGGAACTGCTCATCATTAATAGCACTCAAACTGCTATGTTGGCAAAAGCAGGACTACAGGACTGGTGTGGACATGATTCTGTAAGTGCATTGGAATTGGATCTATTCAATCATGCACTCTGCAGTTTTATAATATTCCCACTGAGGAGACTGACATTTTAGCTAAATATTTATGAGTCCTCCTACACTTAAACACAGGTTAGGGAAGACACTTTGTCTTGGAGGTGAGCATACTGTAAGGGCAGAACTTGTAGAAGTCTGAACTACAAAAAACAACTTACTTCAACCTGAAATACATACTTTGAGTAATACTTTGGGGAAAAACTGCAATCTGCAATCTAGGATTAAAAAAATATATACACATATTTTTGGAACCTGAGTTCTGTGCATTGTGTTTGTTTTAACATGCACCAAGAAAATTAATCCTTTTTTGGAATGATCTGAGTGAACTGGTAATTTGTTTTTGCATACCTCCTTCTCAAGTGTTCTCTGCTGCTGTTGGGACATGTACAGTGCGATTTAGGTAGTGATGGCAAGAAAAAATAGATAGAAACAAATAGTTGTGGCTTACCCTGTTTTCACATGCTTTTGTAGCATCCGCCCAAATTACAAATCGTATTCCTCACAACATCAGCCCTGTGTTTGTGTTTTATCGTCCACCACTTCATGAGCTGTAGTCTGCTGTATGTTTTCTGTGCAGTTCAATAGCTTCCCTACAGACGTCCTTACAGAGATCCGAAGGTCAGGGTCTGGAAAAACTGTGGTTTGGGTATTCTTTCTCCTATAAAAGGTTTTTACACAACAGCCAGATGAGTGTTTGCAAGAAACTGAATGAATGTGAAGCAAAGTGTTGCTGAATAAAAGAATGTATCCCTAGCTCTCAGTGCATGGTAGCTTTCCCTAGACAAATAAAGGATAAGTATGCTTCCTTTCTGCCTCACTGACAGCCAAGCTGGTTAATCAGGGAGAGACTCTGCTTATAGAACAACATGCTAATACAAGTCTGACAGATCACATCCTGTCACACCAACCCTGGGTTGAACAAATTGCACGACCTTGTAGCTGGGTATGGTAAAACAAAGAAATAATAATAAATAAACACATTTGTGACAGGTTAATGAGTTCTGCTGTTTTCCACCACAACATAGGAAACGTGATCAAGATGGAATCAAACATCCGTCTCTAATTGGTTTTGGAAGTAGAATCACATTAAATAATCGATAAATAAATAGACAATAATAGGATTCACGAGGGGGCATTTTTGTATCTTTTTTCTATACACAATGCCACCATTGACAACTTATACATTTCCTTTAATCGAACATTGTCTGCTGTTACCTGTCTAGATTGGTGATCTGGGGTTGCAACCCTACCAGGGGCAGGATAGGTTATTAGGATTAACTTATTTTTCTCAAATCTTTGCTTTTGTTATCATTAAAAGCTCAATAGTTTACACCTATTCAAATGAAACATCCTGAGAGATGAGCATCACTCTTTGGTTGAACAGCTTGAAATTCAAAGACATACGCAACCTTTGACAATAAGCCTTTAGAGGGTCATTAGCCAAAATATGGGAACCACCACAGTATGGCACACAATGATGTAACTCACTTAAAAGAAAAAGTTGTTATTTTAAGAATGATTGCCTTTCCATATTAAAAACAATGTCTACAGTGCTAGTAGTGTCACACAGACTGTCTCTGCACCGAGCAGGAAACCAGGCAGACGTGTATGGAGCTAATATGGCAGCTGTTTGAGTGAACTGTGTGTAAATGGTGGACAGGTGTGTGGAACATACTGCATAGCAGCTACAAGGGGGCAGGTGCACGACTGTTTTACATAAACAGATGCCAGGTGAGTAGACACAGAGGATAAGGTGTTCTCTAGCTGGGAACAGGTAGTCCAGCTGGCCTCAGTTTGAAACTTTGTTTGCTGATTGAAACTAAACTCACTTGCTACAGTAACAGAGGGCTCTACTCAGCACTATCTTTTGACATGATAAAGTATTCACAGATCTTATTAAGCAAATGTAGAATTAGAGCCTTTGGTAGCATTGTGACTGGTCGGGAAGCACACGTGTTACAAATT